AGTTCCTTCACATATAATCTTCCTCAAGTTCTGCTTTCTTTCTCATAATAAAGGCTGTTTCAATTCGAGTAAATGTTTTTCATGCTCTTTATTACTGATGGACCTCACAGTGATAAATAACAATCCTTTATCAAGGATAAACTCTTAACGCAACTATAGATCAGATTTCGTTGGAAAACTGAGGCGCCCATCATTCTAAATTCGAAAGCAAAGACAGTTTCGCTTTAACCAATCAGTTATCTTTATATTTTTATACCAGTGTTTCCCTCATCATGCTACATTGTTTTCCGGTTATTTTCCCAGACTTACTTTAACAAGATTACAACGATTATTAGCCGTGTTTCTTCAATTTCTGTAAACTACTTAGTTGTCAAATTTTCAGATAAAACTAAAACTTTTCATGTTAACTTTGTGAGGAAGAATCCTAGCAGACCCTTGCCACCCATAGCAGGTTGAAACAACACATTGTCGCTCCCATACCGGAATTCCGACGAATGCCACTTCGTATAAAAGATTACCTATGTCCGATCTTACATGAGACAGAAACAAATAGGACAATAGGCGAACTGTTCCTAAACCTTGAACTACGAAATTTCTTTATCAGTGAATTGTGTTCCTAGCCAAGTCTGACTCGCATACTTTTTGATACCGAAATACAAGCTCCAGTGCTTGCAATAGTGACGCAATACATTGAGATCAACAAAGCGTGGGGCAAAAGATCGCAGTCAGTTACTCGTATTCATGCTTCTATACGTATGAATAACAACAAGGTGGTCAAGTGGCGAGGTCATCAGAACAGCAACCTGGATTTCCTGAACTTGAATACCGACAACGACGACCACCTTCCCTATTTGTGTCTGCATAGGCAGGCAGCCTTGTATGGTCATGACTCCCATTCTGAAAGTTAACTGTACATTTGTATGCTCAATCAAGAAAAAGGAAGCGAAAACATTTATCACTTAAATTTATTCATGTATAACAAAAAGTAATGAGAAATCACGGTATTAATGGTCCATATCTAGCTTCAAACATCCGTGCGTGTGTATTAAAGTGAACTTGATAACAATGTGTATGCTCTTTCACCAGCTCCTGTGGGACGGGGTACAACGGTCGAACGCGTTCGCGAACACCATCCGCCTTGGTTGAGGACAGGAACAATGAAGACAATTACGAGCACAGTGCGTTCGCATTCTGTTTAGTCAAATCACTCGGTGGATGTGCATTCGACTGACTGATACGGCTCGATGTAAGCAATCAAGAGTAGTGTGAAACATCGTATCCTACCTACGATCGAAGCTATAAGCATTTGGATCCAGACCCCCTCCCGTTCCCCTGCGCGACCAGAAGAAATTTGTGCAAGCACTTAACCTGCTTTGGCCCACTTCAGCCGCGACCACACGTGTGCAAACACTTGAACTTTTAACACTGTGATCAATTTCATCAGAACGCGGGTACGCATGTTTAAAGCCAGATCTGGGCTATCAGGACTGAAATTTTTAATCACCTATACGGTTACTCATATCAAGTGTTACGTAATGCTATGATTACGAATAACTTAAATCAAGCCTGTTCGCCACAGTGTTGTTCTCTATGTGTTCTGTGGGACTATTCAAACAATAAAATGTATCAATTTCACTGCATTAACGTCATCGCTTCTAACGACTGACAACGCATTCAGATTTTTTATTGCACACCTTTTTAGTGTGATGACCAGCAGCCGGGGTGGACCCCATAGTCACAAGTAGCTCTTGTTCATTGATGGGAACCGGTAACCTAAACTACAGGACTTCGAGTGGCGAACCACATAAGGCCCCGCAAGGTTAGTACATGAATGAATGGTATTCCGCGACTGATGAACTACTACCTGAAACTTTTAATGACTGATCAAAGGCCTACATTCACTGTTGGAATCTAGGCAACATGAGGAAATAATTTGGTTACCCAATCAAGTGAAACCAAAATTGGTAGTAGAGCGCTCTCTCGTAGCTGATGGGGAGATCAGTGGGACAACGAGCAAAGCATACATGGCGATTATAGGAAACGCATTCCTCGAAAATGTATATGGATGAGAAGTTTAACCCTCGAGCTCACCTGTTCCGCCAAAAGAGCTGCCTCACTGGTGTCATCACTCAATGCCTGGACCGGTTCATCCTGTAACGCCCAAGCAATCAGTTGGCCAGCATCTGATACACAGGACTCGCCGATCGATAATAAATTTCGAAGCATTTCCTCTGCAGTAGCTTGAGCTTGTTGCTCAGTACTTGTAAACCCTGAATACGATGCACTTGCGTTATCCGTAGGACTTGAACAGCCGGAGATGCTGCTCTGTCGTTTAGCAGACAGACCGTGTGAGACGAGGAATATGCGCGCCAAATCTTTCGGAGCAGACAAGTGTAAAAAAACATTCAATTCGGGTAGGGAGAAAATAAAGAAAAATTAAAATATCATTGGATTCAATCACCAAGCCAGTTTATTAAAAGCAAAAAATACGCACATCTTTTTCTTTTTTTATAAAACACCTTAGTGTGATGAACAACAGACGAGGTGGACCCCATAATTACCAGGACAAGCATTTTATTGATAGAAGCCGGTAACGTAAGTTCCAGGAATTTCAGTGGCGGACCACATAAGATCCCGCTAGGCCAGGCGTGCTATTGAACCGGACGACAGTAAAGCTGTCTAACACCAAAGTTGGATAGCGGGGACGGGGCTCGAACCTCGGACCATATGGTCCAAAGCATGCCGATGACAGCGACTAAAAAACCCCTGGGTCACCATCACGAGGGTGCATGTGTCTCAGAGACTAGTCGATTGCAACCCCCTTAGGTTTTCCATTAATTCATGGTTACATGCTTCAACCAGTTAATCAAAGAATGAGTCACAAAAGAAAGATCGTCGAAGTGGTTTCAACTGCAGAGAACCATAGGTGATTTGCACCGGTTTACGGAACTGGGTGATTTGTCTGCTAACTTACCTCATCAGACAGCATAGCAGCAGCGTTCTGTTACTAAAAACATGACATCTCTCCAGAAAATTGTCTTTCTTTCACGTCCATGTCATTTCGGCTACATTTTTGTAGCAATGCCGCTCAACTGCATTTACATCTTGAGAAGATATTTTTCCCTAACTGTGTAGATGTAAACAGATATTAGCTTCCGAACGATCTTGTGGATCTGAAGCGTAAGTGTGTAACATCTGAGTGTGTTGAATAACCTCTAGTCGACCGAAAGACAATCTTTCAAGGATTACCCCCAACCCACTGTGTAAAAACATGGANTGGAACGAAGCCAAACCACGCGGAGTCTGCGACTAAATGGTTCAAAGTCGGTAAAACTCGGTCGAAATGGAATGATAGAACAGGGTAAACGGTACCTGTGACCATTGTAGACCTAAACCCCGTTGTCATGAGGAAATTAATCCTAGTAACGTGATGTGACTTTTTCGAAGTCACTGTCAGTGATATATACTGTGATTATGAAAACGAACTTGTTCGCCGCTCTTTGTTGGACATATTAGGTTATTGAATGCATTTTTCTTCTTTGTCGCTCTTCGTCACAATTCTTTTGAATGTAATGAGTAAAGAGATGACTAGTGACTTTTCGTACGCACCTAATTGTTGTTCACCGTCGATGAAATTCAACTAAACAATTCAACGATTCAGCACTACTTAGTATGACACTTGAATGTAGCGAACTGTCTAAAAGTGTACGGCTGCAGAATAACCCCAAATAAAATAACGAAATATACCAGCAATACTTTTCTTGTCCGCCCAAGGAGGGAGGAGAATACAATCCGATGAGCCAATATACATCAAAAAAATTTTTGGACAGCACGGAGAAGCACAAGATGGAATCAGTGCATACAAATATGTTTTCGAACTATTTCTTGAGTAGGAAATTCGCTGTCAGAAAACGTATAGAAGAGAACCTTCCTTAGAGAATAGTGTTCAGATTTATCGACATCTAGTAATTCTGGGCAAATCTAGCAGTGGTTCACTGATTCGAACCCAAGGAATCAGATGGCCAGTTTTTTTTTCACAGCGCAGTATATCCTAGTGGTTGTGAAGTTGAATTCCTTGAACACACGCGATAAAAACACAAAATTAGTGCCATGATGAGCCAACAATGATTCGTGAAAATCACAGTGAACCGTTTAACTATTCATGTCCACAATGTACAGAATTAGTCAAACAAGTGAATTCAGCATATACACTTCGGTGACTACACCACTGTTGGGTGGATTCGAATGTGAATACCTAATACTGCGTATGGACAAAACGTTAACTCACTGGAATCCATAGAGTTTGAGTTGGCCGAGGCCGCAAGAAAGCCGGCCAGTCCGCGGACTCCGTGTATCAACGCGCTCAAATGATCTAGTAACTCGTTCACCGTAGTCAATGACTCAGTCCAACGAGCTCCTTGGTCGGAACGGCCCGATTGTCCTTGCACCACACGAGACACGAAAGGAGGCAGTTTACGCCAGTTCCTATTTACACCGTCCGGATATGCATTGGCCTCCAGTGCGGGAAATACACGATTGAATCGACTCACTGCACTCCACAGGCCAACACAAACAGAATCAAGCTGTCAAAAATGAAATTAGAGAAGTTTATCTTTTAGTGCACACATTTTTGTGCGATCGACAGCAGATGGATCGAACCTCATAGTCGTAAAGACATGCTATTTTCTGTGATGGAGACCACAAACCTTGGCCCCGGGAATCGGAGTGGCTAACCGCATACACGAATAGCACGCATAAAGAGAGCAAAAATATTACATCCCACAAAATACGTGGAGGAAAAGTAAACGAAAGAGCTGGAACTGACTGAGCCAAAACTTTACAAATCACCTAACGAGAAGCAATTATTGAACAATGGTGTTCCACATTGAGCGTTCAAGANAAGAAAAGTAGACTAGACGGTGATCAGAAAAGCAATCAGTCAAAAAGGTATGATGCAATAGACGATGGGAACATACCGTTTCATCTGGCAATAGTCGGTGAGTACTGTTGCGTAATTCGGGGCTCAGACTGTCCAATCGTTCGTTAATTTTTGTGAAAGTTGCCGCCCAATATTCACTATCCTTTTGACCATTGGTTGTGGGAGTGGGTAAACTGATTGGTTTGCCCGAGTTTAACTGATCCAGTTTGGGCGGTTCGGTGTTTAGAACTTGTTCTGAGTTGGTGTAGCATAGTCGTAAATCGGTCAAGCAAGCCTGTGTGTTGCGTGCAGCCCCACTAAAAGCGGATTGAATACCGGCGTCCGGAATGGTCGGTACGACAGCGTCAGCCTGCCGTAACAAATCTTCCAAACACTGGTGAGAAAAAGTTGTAGAAAATCAAAACAAAACAACGCTATAGTACCCTCGGATTATAGGGTAAATGAAGACCAGATGATAATTAGAAAAAGAAAAGAAATACAAATGGCGATCAGACATCTATCAAACCGAGAAGCGCGCACTTGAGATAAAATTAAGTCCTCAAAATAAGGAACAAATGAATAGGCTTGATATCTTAAAGTAGGACTGAGGTATGGACTTAGCAGACGCAAGAAAGATCCCAAAGAACATTTAGGAACCTATAAAACTGAAACCCAATAATACTCGACCGACAACGAAACAGTAGGCTTTATTGATTATGAAATTCATCTCTTCCTCATCTGTTGATTACAACGAAGTGTAAGCATACGAAAAGGAAAGGTTAGAGGGATTACTTCAACTACAGCGGAACAACTCTGATAGGCAGTAAAAAAGCTGTTTAAATGATCAAGAAAATTCGGGACTTTTAACACAAACAAGTCACAATACTAAATACTCCCAACCAAGCATGACTAACCTGCATCAAATTTTGTGAGGCGACCAGAAGACTGGCTTGCTTTTTCGTGTTATACGGTTCCGTACGAGCCTCCGAGCACGATAGATTTACCTTCGGCATCACTCGTTTTTGGAGTTGTTCCAAATCTGTGGCCAGCTGAACATGAGCGGTGAAAACGGGAATAAAAAATGACATCCCTGACGGAGGACACACAACGAAGTGGCTCATGTAGTTAAAAAAAAGTTCAGCTTATTTCTTCAATGAAACTGATCCGTTAAGAAAGTGAAACAAGTAGGAGCCTAGCTCTAACCATATGTGATAGACAGAGTCGAGTTGCAACAAAGTACACTCAGACGAGTCTAGATAAACGCCACTGTACCTTGTGCACCTGTCGTCTGACGACTCACATTGATCGCGTCCAGTCATGCATCATTCAGAACCCTGTCTGCAATATATCTGAGCCAAATGTCCAATGAAAATGTCACTAAATATGGTTAGCGCATAGCAAACGGGAGACTCATCGGATGGTTAGTGCAACGCAACGGATAGACTAGGTAGGACAGCTGACAGTTCATGGCAAATGCCGGAAGATTCAGCTTACAGACGGCATTCCATGCTTGATTTCAGAAAACATCTAGACAAACACTCACTGATAAACAACTGCGCCTAGCACACAGTGACTACATCCCTGGGCACATCCGGAGCTGTGTGCGTTATTTTACTCCGTTGATCTGAACATAAAGTATTAGTTTCGTTGAGAATGCCAGTAACGCAAGTAGGTAATAAGTGAACAATTCTAGAGCAGTAAATATTAACACAAAAGAGAGGGTGACAGAAAGCGACCATTAGATAGCGCGAACGGTGGGTCGGAACACTGCAATGCATCGAAAGATCAAGCCGAAATGCGGAACAAACGAGTGAACAACGAACCCTGTAGATAGTTCTAGACTGGAAACCAATACATGGGGAAGAGGAAAGTAAAAAAAATGTATAAAACCGATAGTTGTGCAATTAATGAGGCAAATATACGGATCCGTCTGTCCATATAGGGTGTCATTTTAGGTTAATCATATCAAGGGCTCGGGAACAAACACGCTTTGACGCCGAAACAGAGGAGACTTCAAAGTTGAAACCCGCCAAATTGACGTCGTTCCGGAGCGTGAAAATAGGGAGCTAACACGTTCACAAATTATCCTCACCTTGTACGTGTTTCCCTGACAGATACGCACAACCTCCCCTCCAACAGTGACCAAGGGGCCTACATTAGAGGCGGTTAGACGAGTTGCGAATTCCAATCCTTGAGTTAATCGTGCTCGGATTAGTGGAGCTGCGGCCGCATGTGCCGTGGCAACCAGTTGCTGAGCGGCTGCAACAACCATCTGTTGATGTTCTAATGACTGGGCGTTTCCGTCAGCGCATTCCTGTAACCAGGATGAAATAGAAAACGATTACGAAAGAAAAATTAAACTCTGATCGTACGAAGCGTTCTTAGGACTGTCGATGTTCGGAAACGAGGGATACGAAGAGGTTACAAAAATTGAAGTACAAATTTACGGCTTATTCCT